GTGTGTGTGTGTGTGTAGGTTCATATAGAGTTTACTGACGGTGAGGAGCGTATCAGTCTGGAGGGACCAACAGAGGAGGTGGAACAGGCTCAGGCCCAGATACAAGAGATCATCAAGGACCTGGTGAGTTCTCTCTCACAGCTAAAATCATTTCAGCTTTTTCAACAAACCATCTACAACAGAAAGTTTACAAACCAAAGACCCTTTGGGGTCTCACAAATACCGCTCACTCTGGTTATATGACACATTTCTCATCAGTGATGAATTGTGGTGATAGTTTAAGCATTTTACATGAAGATTTATATATTTGTAGTTAACCCAAACAGAGCTAGAATGATCAGTTAATTGTTTAAAGTTATTTTTCAAGCAAAAAAGCCAAACCCCAGATGGCTCCAGCTGTAAAGAGTTACTGCTTTTCTGGGTTTTATATCAATTGTATTTATCTTTGTGTTTTTGATCTGTTGGTTAGAGAGAACAAGAAATTTCAAGACGTCATCTTGGGCTGTAAGAAGTTGTTCAAAGCATTTGACCAAACTGAAACAAATAATTGACCAAATAATTAGTATTAATCAGTAATGAAAATGATAGTTTTTGCAGCCCGTCAGTGGATATGTATCGCAGAAAGCACATCAGTGTTAATCACTTATTGCATTAATAAAAAGGAAGTTGTAAAATAAATCTCTTAAAAGCCTCAGAACCCAATTAAAACACTTGGAAAGCTGAGAGACAGACAGAAAAAGAGACAATAGACACAGATTTGATGGAGTTCATTACTGTATCTCAGACACAAATCTTGAATCTCCCTCTGTGTGCAGCTGGTGAGGATGGACTACACTGAAGTCATCATAGACCAGCGTTTTCACAGACACCTCATCGGAAAGAACGGAGCCAACAGTGAGTACACTTCTGTTCTGCCGATGTCAACAGAAAAAACTGGAACATCAACGCTGTTGGGGATTGAGGTTCAAATGTCAGTGGGACCGGACATTTTTTTAATTTAATGACAGGATAAAGTACTTAAATTATCCACTGACACAGTGACTTCAGCCACTTTTTAGTTTTTACTGTTTTACTTAAATCACCATTCTGGGTTCCAAAAGAAGGCTGAATGAATATTTTTACGTCTTACTTTTGTTGCGTGTCTGTTGTAATTATCATATTATGACTCTGTTCTGCTGAGTCAGACTTTCACCGGAGGCTGGATGAAGCCTCCTCACAGTCCGACAATAGAGTTGGTTGTTTTTTGTAATGTGGGTCTTGACAGGCAATCTGGCTGATGGATTCAAATCTTAAGTTAATGTATTGCTGTCGATTTAAATGCATTAAAGGCTTGAAAGGTACAAAGTTTGTAATTTCTCTCCCACCATCCATCCCGTCCTGCTTTCCTCACCCTCACTACAGTCAATCGGATCAAAGAGCAGTACAAAGTGTCGGTACGAATCCCCCAGGACTCTGAGCGAAGTGGCCTGGTCCGGATCGAGGGAGACCCTAAAGGAGTCCAGCTGGCGCGCAGAGAGCTCATTGAGATGGTCCAGAGAATGGTGAGAATGTGGTCAAAGTTTCATGGTTAATTTGTTCATTCTGGTGATCGTTGGCCGTACACAGACTCCACAACGGGCACTCACACTTTTTTCCCGTTTCCAGGAAAACGAGCGCACCAAAGACCTGATAGTGGAGCAGAAGTTCCATCGGACAATCATCGGCCAGAAGGGAGAAAAGATCAAAGAAGTTCGAGACAAGTTCCCTGAGGTGAATGTTCTCCCCGACCCTCGATTTATCTCCCCTATTTGTCATTGTAAATGAGTTTTTATCCGGTTCTAATTTAATTTGACGAGAATTATCTCATCTACTTCCAGGTCATTATCAATTTCCCCGACCCGGCGCAGAAGAGTGACATCGTGCAGCTGAGAGGGCCGAAGAACGAGGTGGAGAAATGTGCCAAGTTCCTCCAGAAAATCATTGCTGACCTGGTATGACCCACCCTTCTATCTCTGTCTCTTCATCTGTCTCCGTCTGTCTACACTCGACTTCACAGCCGTGTTCTTTCTTTTGTAGATTGAGAATAGCTTCTCGCTCTCCGTTCCCATCTTCAAGCAGTTTCACAAAAACATAATTGGTAAGGGCGGCACGAACATCAAAAAGGTGAGACTTTTAAAATGATTGCTTCAAATTATGCAGCAATTTCACTTCTTTATGGTTTTGTCAGACGTGTGATGACGGATGTTGTTAATGCCACCAGATCCGTGAAGAGACCAACACTAAGATCGACCTGCCGACAGAGAACAGTAACTCCGAGATGATCGTCATTACCGGCAAGAAGAGCAACTGTGAGGCAGCCAGAGAACGAATCCTCGCCATCCAAAGAGAACTGGTGAGAGACATCAGACTGGTTTTGGTGCGGATTACAGGGTTCTGGTCAGAAATAAATGTTTTTCTTTTGTATTTACCTTTTTATATGGTCCCAAATACAAGTACTTAATAAAACAATAGATGTGATTGAAAATATTAAGACATGTAAACTTACATTTCATTTACTAGATTATCATGTCCAGTAGTCATTGGATGGCTGTATGATTAGAATAAGTTTAACTCAATTAAAAGTCCAATTAATAGCTTTTTCCTGAGCTTTCAGCCATATCTTGTATTCTTCTTCACTGGATGGAAATGGCTCAGACGCCATCACATGCTACTGTCCGTGATGACAACTGAGCTGAACTATATCTGCTGAATAGAATAACGTTTAATTCCAATACGACCCACAAAATTTAAAATATAAGATTAATTTAAGAATAAAGGTTTAAGGTTCATATATAAAAAACGCTGTCAATGTCGCCCTATCACATTATCTCTCTCTCTTCATTCCTCCAGGCCAACATTAAGGAGACGGAGGTCGCTATTCCCGCCAAGCTGCACAACTCTCTGATTGGCTCAAAGGGATGCCTTGTGCGCTCAATCATGGAAGACTGCGGTGGCGTCCACATCCATTTCCCCTCCGAGGGCTCTGGCTCAGACAAGGTCACCATCAGAGGGCCCGCTGGCGAGGTGGAGAAGGCCAAGAAACAGCTGCTGCAGCTGGCCGAGGAGAAGGTGGGTGGGAGTGTTGGGAATACGGATACAAAGAGTGAATGGAACAGAAGAGGGGACTTAAGTTAGTACAGAGAGGAGGGAAGGAAAAGGCAAATACTGACATCCCTTTCCTGTCCTCTGTGCTTTCCAGCAAGTCAACAACTTCACAGCTGAGCTTCAGGCCAAACCAGAGTACCATAAGTTCCTGATCGGCCGCGGCGGGGCCAATATTCGCCGCGTGCGCGACAAGACGGGGGCCCGCATCATCTTCCCGTCGCCGGATGACACCGAGCAGGAACTGATCACCATCGTAGGGAAGGAGGAAGCAGTTCGTCAGGCCCAGAAAGAGCTGGAAAGTCTGGTCAAAAACCTGGTAATTACGACCTGATGGTGAAATTACTTCATCAACCATCCCCTTAATGTGTTTACTTTCTTGATTGCATACAAGTATGCCTGCCTGTACTATTTATTACTATTTACTCCTTATTGCAGAGTAACTAAGCAAAAGCAAAGTGATAAATTGGCAAAATTTGAATGAAATTGCAAAAACTATATACAAAGAAAGCTAAAGATATTGCTTGACTTGCGTTACGTTTAAGAACCTCGACTTAAATACCCTCCACTTCCTGTTTCCTCCTTCTACAGGATGATGTGGTGGAGGACAGCATGGTAGTAGACGTCCGCCACCACCGCCACTTCGTGTGCCGGAGAGGCCAGGTGCTGCGGGAGCTGGCAGAGGAATACGGGGGAGTAGCTGTTAGCTTCCCTCGCACGGGCGCCAACAGTCAGCGGGTCACTCTGAAAGGAGCCAAGGACTGTGTGGAGGCCGCCAAGAAACGCATCCAGGAGGTCATCGAGGACTTGGTAAGAGACATTTGAGAGATTGAGAAACAGTCGAGAGTGACGGTCGGGTCGTTACAAGATTCATTCATCATCAGTTTTTGCCCATAAAACAATTGACGATAAAGAGATGACAAGAAACGCCTGTACGGATCAATATCGGTGATCACATCCGAGCTAAATCAGTCAAATCTAGTTACTGTGAATGTCACTGAAATGCTGCTTTTTAAATATTAGGTGGAATCAACATGTTGCACTACACTTAGTGATTTACATCCATTAGTGCTGGAAGTAATCCTCCTGAACTCGTGATGTGTGTTTTCAGTCAGTACCGTTGTTACCCAGCTGTCTCCTCTCCCGAGCAGGAGTCGCAGGTGAGCGTGGAGGTGGCCATCCCTCAGCGCTACCACCGTGCCATCATGGGGCCTAAAGGTTGCCGCATTCAGCACATCACCAGGGAGCACGAGGTCCAAATCAAGTTCCCCGAGAGAGAAGACAGCTCTGCAGGTCAGAAACAACACAGGAGTGAATCTGCGGCTGTGTAACTCTAATACTGTCATAGTATCATAATACAATACATTAAAACTCTCTGAATACAGGAATGTTAATATCTGGTGAATCTTGAAAATTTATTCAGATTAGAAGCTATAAATAAATAATATTTTTACACAATGTGGCAGCCAGAAAATCATATGTTTACGTTGGTTGGCCTTTCAGTCCATTATCTGTGGTAAAATTACAGGTCAGGAGGCTCCACCCCAAGAAAACGGTGATGTCAGTCCAGAGGCCGAGTTTGTCCCTCGCAAGTGTGACATCATCACCATCGCCGGGCGTGCAGAGAAGTGTGAACTGGCTAAAGCCGCCCTGCTGGTAGGCCCCATTTCACATCCTCGCTGCCTTCCTCTTTCATTTCCCCGATAACAGTCTTGCTTCCTCCCTCAGGCGTTGGTGCCCATAACGGAGGACGTCGAAGTGTCTTACGAGCTGCATCGCTACATCATCGGCCAGAAGGGCAGCGGGATCAGGAAGATGATGGAGGAGTACGAGGTGAGTTTCCACTCTCTGCTGCCATCTTCTGGCCAAAAGACCTTTCACACTGCAGGTCAGAAGATCTGCATCAGTGATGAGAAGAGCTGATTGCTTAGTTATTGTGAGACACTTAACTGATTATGTTGGTAAAAAGTGATGTGATTGTGTGTGTGTGTGTGTGTGCGCAGGTGAACATCTGGGTGCCGCAGCCGGAGAAACAGCTAGATGTAATCAAGGTGACGGGTCTGGTAGCCAACGTGGAGCGAGCCAAACAGGGTCTGCTCGAGAGGGTCAAAGAACTGCAGGCTGAGCAGGAAGACAGGGTACACAAATATATATATTTTCTGTTTTTTGCAACGTATTTATCTTGTTTATTTTATTTAACAGCTGTTGGCAGTTAAAGAATTAAAGTTTATTCTGTTGTTTTATTTGTTATAAGTCACATTGGAGGAGAGGGAAGGTTCACAATGAACCTGAGTTCAAGTGTTTTTCTCTTTTTCAGGCCCTGCGCAGTTTCAAGGTAACCATGTCTGTAGATCCAAAGTTTCATCCCAAGATCATCGGCCGCAAGGGAGCCGTCATCTCTCAGATCAGGAAAGACCACGACGTCAGCATCCAGTTCCCCGACAAAGGAGACGAGCAGCAGGTGTGTGTGTGTGTGT